CAATCAATTGGGAAGGCTCAACCAAAAGCAGCATTGCTCCAAGAAAACAGACCAAACATCTGCACAAGCCTCTTGATTACCACTTAATACCAGAAATTCACTGCAACACAATGAAAAACCCAGCCAACTATAGTCCCCATATAGTTGGGAATATACAGAGTTCATTATATATATATATATGTATAAGTTACAGTGTGTGCATATATATGTTTCTATATATGTCTATATAGCATATATGTCTGTGTGCATATATATACACATGTAAAGGTATATACATGCAAACATGGACACAACTGAGACTTTGTAGACCGCTGTAATCTCCTTCAAACCCTAACTCTAGATATTCAACCCCACTTATCCAGGAGGGAAGCCTGTTACCTTTACATATGCTCACACTCCTCTCAGCTCCACAGGCATAAACTATTTGCTGATCTCCAGGTGTCTAATTAATTAGTTCAATTAGATTAATCCCAGTACAACTATTTCCAGCATATGTACTGCTTGAAAACTGTTGCTCTGTTTCTGATCTGAGAAAAATTTTTGTCCATGTGCCTGAACATTTGTCTGATTTTGAACATTAACCAGTCTGCAGAAGAATGCTGCTTCATAAATACTGATTTTAATTAAAGTATTGAGGAAGTAATACTTAGGCATCACAAACCCTGTGAGGGAGGATGCCCACACATGAAAAAAAAAAGAAATAAAAATGAGAATTCTCAAAAATAGTCTCTGTACTTGCATGCCTCATTTACTTAGACACAGAGGGCCTAATATTTCATAATACTTAATTACTCTTAGGAGACAGTACCTATCAATTAAAGCCTAGGAATATTAACCAGGCTATCCTTCAAAACATTGCTGAGAAGCAAATCAAATAAGTATTTTCTCAATTTTATGGATGAGAAAGTTGAAGCCAAAAGAAATACTTTGGGCAACGGCACAGGCTGAGTTGGGAATATACCAAGACCCAGGCTACAGACAATCCAGCTCAGCATCCCATCCTCCTTTCTGCAAAGCGGGTTCCTTTATTGCAATGGCAGCTCCCAAATTACTTTAGTTACAGTTGTTAGCACTTGGTAGACCTATAACATAGGCAGGCACTCAGTGTCTTAACTTAGAAACCATAGAACAGAGCCCATCTGTTCTCTTCACTATTTTTAAAGCAACTTGTCCAGACTCGGGTAGGAAATTTAAGGCAGAGGTGTATCTAATTTCTTGGAAGGCATTCACCTGCCCAGACTATGAGACAATCTCCAGGCTGGCTCTGGTTCACACTCTGCCCAGCTTTCTCAAAACACACCAGAAGGAGGCAAAGATCTGCAGATGAGAGGTTTCATTTCATGCATAGCACATAAATACATTTGCTCCCTTCAAGAATCCTGTGTTCTTCCAATATGATCAACATACTGTATGTTGTTTGCAGCAACAACTGTTCTAGAACAAGTGGTTGTAAACCCCACATAATTCTTAAGTCTTGGCTTAGAGTAGTAACAATCATATTTGTAAAGTGTATCCTAAAGATATTTCATTCTTCTGAAGCACGAAGTCATCAAGCAGAGGTAAATTGCATAGTGAAAAGCAAACCAACCTCATAATTGCAATTGCAAGTGTAAAAGTTCATCACTGTAATTCTCTCATCTGATGAGTTTTTCTGAAGTGCTATGTGACCTGCTTTTGCTTCTTTCTTGCTTCATGAAATGGATTTCCTCACAAAGAAATTACACGATTCAAACTTTTATAGTTATTACCTGTGTGGAATTTAAGAAGTCTGCTAAACATAGCAAAAATCAAATAATGACCACATAATACAATCCTACATTTCAGTTATGCTCAGGAATTAGTTTTATGGTTTGAGGGTTTTTTTATGCTTTTTATGCTTAGACATAAAGGTTGGATGAGCAAATCAAAGGCAATAATTTAGCATGCTTATTCACCTGTCCCATAGATGTCATTTTATGAACATACTTCTTTTTGTATCTGTTAAGAACAATTCAAGATTTGATTTCTTATACATTAGCTGAGGGTTTTTTTCCCACTAATACATACATCAGTTTTTCTTTGGACCACTTTAGCCCTTCTAACAGTTGTCTTTTAGCTGCTCTGGAAGTTGTGATGCTAATTTGCCTGTCAGTTTCCTAACTTTGACAGACAGACACTTCAGGAGTAAGAACCAGAAGTGTTCTTTGAACTAAACTTTATTCACCAGAAGTGTTAACTTAAAGGATTCAAAACTACTCCTAATCTTGGGCTGAATTTAACAAAACCAAGACAAAACAGGGAACTGAAACGTTCTGTTTCAGTAGTTTTGAACCAGCAAAAAAGCATTTTTCTCCTCCTTTATGACCTGTACGAAATTTTAATTAATGGTTAAGAATGATTAATCCTCTAAAATGAAATAAAATATTTCAAAAATGTTGTTTTATTTTATTGACAAGAGAAGGTTATTATAAACATGTTTTCTTCTGTTTCTCTTTGTTGACCTAACTAGCAATCAGAAAAAAAACAAATAGAACTGAGTACATATTCTAATACTACTGTTTTATTAAGCTAGATGGTGAGGAAATACTAATTACAGAATCTCCTAAGAACCCACATCTCTCTTCTAGTGTGTATTCTCAGAATTGGCTGATATGTCTTTCCCAAGATTTTATTTGCTCTTAAATGAGAATGCATTAGTCAGGCGAAATGAAAAATTACTCTTATTATTTAAATGAAAAGAACACTGATAGGCATTTTATGTTTCTTGCAGTCTGTTCCTAGCACACTACTTCAATCCAAAAGGATCATTTGTTTCTTATCTGAGCTGTTCCCACGGGACAAGAGTAATAATGGTTTCTAATGGTTTACTTCAAATTACGGTACTGTAGTAATCAGCATTTACAAATCTGGAGCTGCCAGTCAGCCACCAGGCTCCTAATCACACATCACTTGCTACCACTTCCAGAACAAGCTGGACCACTGTCTCCCTGACCCTCACCCTATTTTTACAGACACTCTTCCTCAGCGAGTTAGTCTTGCTCGGTGCAGTGTTTGAAGTAGTCAGTTTGAATGGAAAAATCAGAGTATTTGTTCTTTCGCCATCTTCCTTTGTCTTCTTCTCATTTCCTGTGCTCTTTAGAGGCCCTTATGTGCATTTAAGAAAGGGAATTGAAAAAATGGGACTCTGCATCAAAAGCAAACAGTCACAGGCTCTTCCTCTATTTCTCCCACCACTTTTCCTCCACTATTGAACGGCCATCTGTTTTTAATAACTATTTTTAAAAAGCCAACAGGAAACTTAACCTGATCAACATTTTGGTATAAGATTTGGCCCACACTTGGTTATTTTTACATTGAGATACTCTAAGCAAAGATCAGGCCTCCTGCTGTGGGAGCACCATAACAGATTTCTGTCTCTGTGATAATAATTACATCTCCAAATTGGAACGGAACTACAGCAGTTCATGGCACACAGACACAAGCTGTGGCACATAACAAAACGTCCCGAAGTGTAAAACAATTACACTACGAACAACTTGGCTGTGTGAACTGCTTAACCACACTGCTAGTATAATGAAGGCTGCATTAAGCCAAGCTATTGCTGCTGTGCAAACAACTTACGGAATTATATTCTTACATTTTTCTTGCTTGCCATTTTTCCTATACTTTAAAAAAAAAAAAATCTGTGCTAAAATAAGTCCACCAGAAGTCTAAATTGAATAGTTTCAGCCACAAGTAGATGGATCTGGTATTAACATGGCCATTGTGAACATGAATTAATCTCCATAAAGGACAAAAAATAGGCAAAGAAATATTTTTAAGTAGTATAATTCTTTCTACTGAATTTCAGAATGAGAATTATTAGAAAGTATTCTCCTAAAACATTATGGGAATCGTTGGCATAAAGAACTGATAAAAACTTAAAAATTAAGTTCTCTGCATTTCTATGGGAAAATCAGAGCATAGGCTGCAGCAATGCAAGCATTCCTCACGTGCTCTGCTTCCTCCAATGCACCAGATGCAAATTCACAATGAGCACATACAACTGAATTTCTGTGCCAGTTTAAACTTTGGCTCACTTTCAAAGATGACAAATTAATGCCAACATTTTGCTCATGTGGAACCCACTCATTATGTCTTGCACAGAGACCACCAGTTAATTCAGCATTTAGACATGTTTACGCCTACCCACCCATCATTATGTTGCTACATGTGAACATTCCTGAACTTTATGGAGTAACGTATGATTTAACACTGGAATAAACTGAATCAAAACCACTCATGAATAAAAATCATGTCCATACCTCACAGCTTGCTTGCTTCCTCTCACATTTCTCTGCCGCTCTCTGAGGAACATGAACTGCTCTACCCTATCCCCCACGCTCTTTTTGTGCTTGAGGTCTCTCAGTCCATTCCTAGCCTTTCCTCTCTAGTCTCTCTTCATGCTCTACACCATCTATTTTGTAACACCCACAAAAATAGCGGTGGTAGAAGTGTGACATACACGGAGCTCTAAAAATAAGTGATGTCTCTACTGGCTCTTATGCAATTTTGTAGGGGGGAAAAAACCTCCACAAAATATTTAACTTTACTTGAGTTTGAATTGGTGTTTTAATCAGTTTCTGGAAAAGATAAATCATGTAATGATATTTTTTGAGCAAAACAATGTATTAAAGCAAAATGAAATCACAGAATATTTAAATTATTCAGAACCTGCTTCTTTTCCATAGTGAAAGAAAAAGACATTTTTCTCTAAAAATTTTTGCCCAAATCTAAGTCTATATAGACAATACCAGATGGAGGTACAAGCAAAATTTGTGGGGATAAGACATTCCCAAAAGATTATTGTTACCTCTAAAAGCTATTCTGATGATGAGGAACACTCGGTCACAGAAAATACAAGCTTAGCAGGGTCCTTAATCTACCCTGTTTCCCCCACACAATGAAACTGCACCAAAAAAACCCCAGAGAAAATCCCAAACATACCCCAAAGCAAAGCAAAACAAAACAAAACGACTTACTGTCTTCTTCAACATTTTGACGGCGTAAGGTTTCTGGGTCCCTTTCTGCCTGCATCTGTAGACAATGGATGTAGCCCCACTAAATTAAAAAAAAAAAAAAAAAAGGAAGAATAGTTGTACATACGCTTCTTCGAATATGTCAGTAAACAGAGTTGCCTAGCTGAAACTATATTTTCTACTCCTCCCAATTTGGGCAAAAGTAATTCATTTTTCCCCACAGATGCAACCAAAAAATCCAGTGTCAAATCTGCTTTCTGTTGAACCAGTGAACTTCAGCAGTTTTTCAGCCAACAGAACTTGCAAGAGCTCAAGATGCCCCTTGGTCACACCTTTTCTGGCTCCTGACACATCCTGGAGGTTTCCTTAGGGTAGCAAGGAACACAATCTGGCCCCAAACCCGTGACAACATATCTTGTCTTTGCCAAGGCAACCTATTTGCAACAATTAGGTGCACTGGGGGTTTTTGCTAGCTGTTGAAGGCAGTAATGGGGGGTGAGACAGAAAAGAAGAGAAGAGACAATTATCGTGCTGCTCCCTGCCCAGCTACCCAAGCAGCCAAATTCAGCACCAGATGGAGCGGGCAGCACATTGGATTAATTCAGTGGAAACCAGTGAGGCTTGTTCGTAGCACAACTGAACTGGGCTTACATCTTCTCATTGCCTTCAAGGCGTACTCACTTGAATGTGGTAATAACATAAAATTATGGCTCTGCTGGTTGGAGGGCACTTCTCTGAGTGGGAGGTTGGGCTAGACAGTCTCCAGAGGCAGGCTCAGCTGCTGAGGTTACTTGCTGTGCTCTACTTGTTATTGTCAAGGAAGGGATCTGTACTCTCTGAATTAGCTAAAGAGAGGAAAAACCTCTGGCAAAACCCTAATGGTTACAAACAATTCAGATGCCTTTTTATTCTACCACATTTACTTTTAGATGCCGCTGAGCAACCCAGTGTCAGCCACCATTGAAATGGATGCACTGAAGTGCTACATGTCAGCACTGGATTTAAGGCATATTTGGAAGCTTCCTGTCCTCAAGAGATTTGTCACCCATTCTAAGACTCAGCATTTCCTAATAGCTGCAGATTTTTAAGTTAGAGGGGGCTGCCATTCTCATACACAACTTCTCAAATAACATACATTGCAGAACTGTACACAGCCACTCTGCAGTGAAAGAATTTCATATATACCACACACCGAATTGCACTACAGATGTCTCTGAACCAGAAGAAACCCATCTCTGTATGTCTATAGGAGATGGCCATGAGCTGCAGAATGACACAAGCAGCTTTCTTCTAACCAGTGGAATGGCACAGCCATGTTTGACTATAGGAATAAAGCTGTGACACAGGGCTTATTATTCTGGGTGCACTACTGTCCAAAACCACCATGCATACTCTGCACTTCTCCTTCCTCAGCACAGGCACAGATGCCAGATAATGCTCTGACTAGGCATGTCCGTAGTTTTATGAGTAGATGAGTGAGCACAAGAACTGTCATTTGATTGAGAAGATTCATTTCAGAAAGACCTCTTCATCAGGAAAGGTCACCTGAGGCAAGGGTTACACAGCTCAATCATCTGAGGGCTTGTGTGCGTCAAACACATACAAAGTAATCTTCACTTCATCTCAAATGCTAAAATGATTTGTCTCTCATAACAGTGTATTGATAAATGTGTGGGAGTACAGCAAGCCTCAGTGACTCCCAGAATCATTACATGAATTTAATTAGATCTCCTCTACTTGGGCAAGTCTCAAAAGGCTCTGTTTAGTAAGAAGAAAAAAATACAACACATCCAAAAAAGCCTCATAAGAAAAGCCTCATATCTTTTAACTACAACCAAAAATGTTAAAAGATAAAAATTCTAAGGACCTGCTGTGATAAGGTTTAAATCTCCAGTATTTCACTACAGCACTGTAATGGGGAAGTCACTGCATAAACTACAAATCATTCTTGTACCCTGCTTCACATATCCAGACTGCAATATAAATATTAAACTCATTAGTATACATATGCTCTTACTAAGCAGGCAGCAAACCTTCTAGAAATTATTTTATTTGGTTGAGGGCTTAATTAGATAAGCTGTGCAGCTGATGACCCAAATAAATAGATTACCATTCCTGTGCACAACTCCAGGTGTTTGCTGCTGCTGCAGCGATGGAGGGCTGCCACTGTCTCTTTTGTTGTCTTATACTATTGTCCGTGCTTGCTTTACCAGTTTGTAACCTGGCTCTGCAAAGTCTTCCACATGAATAAAAACCTAGCCACTAGAACACCGCTGACGATTTCACAGAACTGGCTTAGTGATGAGATGGACAGGTGCACCAGCAGGGGTAGCATGGCACCACCTTTAGCAGTTCATTTGGCTACACACAAAAAATGGAAGAGAGACAGCATAATCTTTAAAAGAGGCATACGACAGCCCAGAGAGACAGGGATTTATGAAGGCATGTCTAGATGAGTATGCTCATCAGTCACCGTTCAAAACACACAGAGGGGCTAGTTTAGAAATTATTCCCTATTGTAAAGATTTCTGACAGCACGTTCCCAGAGTCCTGATTTGGGGAAAAAATGATGACAAGATATCACAAGACTTGGGAACGCTCTCACAGAGTGCTCTTTTGGTTTATGTGCTTATGCCCAGCTCTGACAGATATATTCCCACCGCCAGGAAAGAGATCACTGAGCCAACAGCTAAGACTGCCTTCCTCTGTCATGGTTTAACCCAGCTGGCAACTAAGTACCACGCAGCCGCTCGCTTACTCCCTCCTCCCTCAGCGGGATGGGGGAGAGAATTGGGAAGGAAAAAAAAAAAAGGTTAGAGCCATGGGCTGAGATAAAGACAGTTTAATAAGAGAAAATAATAATAATAGTAATAATGAGAATGGTAAGAGAATATACAGAATGTACAAAATGAATGATGCACAATCCAATTGCTCACCACCCGCTGACCGATGCCCATCCCATCCCAAGCAGCAATTACTCTCCCCGAGCCATGATCACTCTCTCCGCAACCAACCGACTACCTCCCCCCGAGCATGACGTTATATGGTATGGAATAGCTCTTTGGTCAGTTTGGGTTAGCTGTGCTAGCTGTGCTCCCTCCCAGCTTGTTATGCACCTGGCCGAGCAGGAGAAGCTCAAAAAGTCCTTGAGTAGTCTGAGCACTACTTGGCAACAACTAAAACCATCAGTGGGTTATCAACATTATTCTGGTATTAAATCCAAAACATAGCACTATGATAGCTACTATGAAGAAAATTAACTGTATCGCAGCCGAGACCAGGACACTCTTCCATGCCAGAAACCAGCACCAGGACTCAGGAACAGGACGGAAACCTGCTTACACGACATCTGGTGCAAAACTTAGCAGAAAACAATTACTAGTACAGACCTGACTTCTCATCTCTGGTGATAACAGGATCTCTTTGCTGTGTCGCATTAAAAAACAAAATGCGGGGGGATGGAGGGGAAGCAGTCTATGGGTCTCAATGTAAATGTACAAACAGAATTCCCTTGTGCAAATAAGGGCATTTTGCTCCGCTTATTTTGGCTTCCTGCTGGAGCTCAGTGAGCCTTCTGCTGAATCAGCACATACAGGCTTCCTGAGCCTGTATGACTTGGAAGGTCACCAATGTAATGGAAGCGATTCAAGCTTTCATCACCAAAGAGCAGTGGGAAGCTTCAGCTGCAAAACTCCCATGTGCAACTGAAAAGCTCAGAGAGCTCCTGATTGTAACGTCTTGCCCTTAAGTTTTTCAACATCAAACATTGACTGCCATCAGCCAGGTTCTCAGAACCTGGTCTGGAATTTGTATCAACTAAACGTTTCATTGATGCCTTTGGTCAGAAAACACAAATATGTGGAAACCAAAAATTCTGGTGGCAACATGCTGCTTTCTACTGGCATGAAATTTATGGCCAGATAAACAGACCACGAACCTCTCAATGTCCCATTCTCTGCAGGTGGTGTTCTGCTTCATCTGAATGATAAATATTAAGGGTGCTATAGAAAGAGATCACCTATACTCAATAATGCTTAAAGCACTTACTTGATAAGCAGCAGATACCAAGACTAGGGAATATTTAATCCTACAGCATGAACAGTTTCAACAGAAGAAACTGAGAGGACCCTAAGCCTAAGCAGCTAATAATCACCTGCAGAAGTACATTGCAGTGTGTGACTGACAAGCAACCCATTCGCAATTCAGACTATAAACTAGAAATTAAGCGTCCCGTACTCCAGACAAGTCCAACCACAAGATTACTCAGTGTATTGTGTTAGCATATTTAGAACTGATCCTGCCAGCTCCTCCCTCTTTGGAGGTGGTGAATGCATGCATACATACATATCTATATTTGCATATATACATACACTTATATTTCTATAAAATATTTTATTATATATATTTATGTAAGTGTGCACTTACTTGTAAAGAAAATTAAGCTTAAAGGAGCATCAAGCTGCTGCCTTATTGCATCTCTGCCTAGAACAGGCTGCCTGAATTCAAAACATAAATTATTTGGAGTTGGCTGGAACAATATGAAAAAAGGCATATTCTTGGAATATATAGTTGGCCAAGTTAGAGAATAGTATAAATTAGAATTCCTACATTGTTGAAAACATTGTCATTCTCTTTTACTGACATATGTGTTTTTGTCTGGAAAGCTGCTTAACGATTCTGTTTAACATTTACTTTTTAAAGCCCCTGTTTAACTGTGAACATGCTAAAGAACAAAAAAAAAATCCCCGAACTAATTTACTATGTATGCTATATGCTTTACTACACAAATATGTTTCTATATCCAGTTCTGAACTTAAAAAAACATAAAAATAATGTATACACCCAAACTACCTGGTCATAATGGACAGTAAAAACACTCACTTCCATATGATGCCACCTACAACGAGGACAGTGACAACTCATGAGAAACTTCATGATGTCCGGTGCATGGAATGTATCACGACTGCTACACATGCAACTCAGTATTAGCACAGAACTAGTCTTCCTTCAATGACATGATAGACTCACTCAGCCACTAGTCCAATGACTGCATGAAAAATTTGAAGTATTAAAAGTACTATT